TTCATCCAGGTCGTGTCAGCAGGCTTCCGGTGCTGTAACCCCACGTAATATTTCATCACGTCATGTTTCACCTCGATTATATGCGTTTTGAGACCGGCGTGTCTAACTTTGTATGCTTCTTGGGAGAGGATACTGCGTTTTTCTTCAGATGGCCGGGTAAGTCCGTTCTCACAGCTATTCCTTTTGATAAGTTACTGTTCCTGGCCTTCGCTAGTATGGCATTACGGTTTTCCATCCTGGCGAACTTCACAATAATGGCTTCTGGTGCTGACTCCTGATAAGAATGATGATCTTCGTCAGTTTGCTCCTGAGAAAACAATTGATCTGTTCTTACTGATGCTTTTGTTTCAGGGAAAGTCATGTGCTCTTGTCACAACCATGATAACCAGAATAGGATCGTGCACTTTTATGAATGGTCAAGCGGGGGCATCACAAATAATTAAATCAATGGGGACACGTAAAGTATTGAATTCCATTTCTTTCTAAGTATTCTTTAACAAAATCGTTCATATTCTTTCTCTCTGTCATTCTGTACAGAATAAGTAGAACTTTTAGGAAGACTATTGTCTTTGAATAATTACATATGTTTGTCAGGTATGTAAACCAAAAATTTTAACCCGAAAGGTATTGAATATATGCAAATATTTAAAAGATTTGAAGTATCTGTGGCTTATTAAAGATCTTAATATATAGATTTACTGACAACCATCATCATAAATAAACAACTTCGAATACTTCCCAGACCCACGATGCCTTATTACTTGTAATTGAAAACAACTTTGACCTTTGACACATTCGTCTTGTTTAAATCTCTGGAGGAAGGCCTGTTTAAACACAGTGAAGTTGACCATAAACTAGTCTCCAAGCGTTAAAAACCAGTGCTTCACAATTTCTATTGTGTTGAACGGGAATATGTCTAACGCTTGCTTATCGGTCAAGGCATACTGACTCGCAAATAGCATAAATGTCATCCACCACAGGCACGTAGCATTATTTTTGAAAGGGGGGGGGGGCAACTACTCCAGCATGCTAGAATAGAATAGAATATTTATTCAACCAATTTGGGCCCACAGTGGAGCATACAGAACAGTGTCCAAAATCATCACAGTTATACATATACAAAACAGAACAAAACAAACATTGTATAATGAACAGAGAGTTAGCTATCTTCTTTTAGGATGTATAAAATGTACATTATAAGTATACTATTTATAATATCTGCAATATGCCTATATTAAACTATGTTGTTTTCTCTTATTAAAATTTGCATTTAAAAGTTGGCATAATAAAACAACAAATTCAGAATCTTCATTTGACATAATCCATGTAAACAGGTCAACATTGTTAAGAAGTATCAAATTAGGAAAGGTTTTAAAGATTTTATCTAAAAACTCTCTTCTTGAGTCATTATAAAATGGACATTCTAGCAAAAAATGCAATTCATCCTCAGTTGGAATTGAGGTGCAGTAACGACAGACTCTCTCACACCTGGGAAGAATTTCATTTTTACCACATTTATTAAGTTTCCTTTCATATCTACCTGTTTCTACCCTTAAACAATGATTACTAATTCTGAATTTTGCGAGAATTACTCGATTGTCTCGGTTTTTCATATTCAAATATTTTTCAAAATAAAAAGACCTTTTATACTTAAAATATATGTTTAATTTACCAAAGCCTTCCAAATAATTGGTACGAATATCATTCCAAGTGTTTAAAAAACTATTGTGTAGTTGTCTTTTCATGTACAATTTAAATTTGTTTTCACTTAGTTTTTTGCAAAGGGACAAGTTAATATTAAGTTTTTCGCTGTAGAATAATATACTGGAGTACCAATCACTGTTGATGATGTTTGATTTGCACTCATTGAGAGCTGCTTTCAGTAGGTTAGATGATGTATGTTCTAGTCTATACCAGTACATGAATATTTGCTTTAACATGTCTAAATACAATGGGTACCTCCCTAGTTCAGAATAGATTCCTACATTTGTACAAGATTTAGATACACCCATAATATATTTACAGAATTTCATATTGAGTTTTTTAACTTCCCAATCTTTAAATATATCAAAAAGAGGGATATTTTTCCTTTTTGGAGTAATGTTTATAATGCTCCAGTTCTCACAGCCATATAAAGCTATAGGTTTAATACAGTGATCAAATATATGTAAAAATGTTTTTAAGGAGGGGTTAGCATTTTTTACATCCCTATAGAATTTAAAGCATGCCTTTAAACTTTTCTGATACAGTTGTTTTTTGGCTTCAGTAAACTTTCCATTGTTTTCAAGAGTTATCCCTAAATATTTATATTGTTTTACACATTCTATAATGTCATTACCAAGTTGGAATGCTTCCTTCAGTAATTTACCAGAGTTATTAAAAATTATTACCTTTGTTTTTTTTATGTTTACTTCTAAACACCACTCACTACAGTAATCATGGAGGAGATTGAGTTTACATTGAAGGTCTGATTTTGAATTGGATAATAAAACAAGGTCATCTGCATACAGGAGACATGAAATCATTTCTTTATCTAGAGTAACAGAAACAGAATTATGATCCAAAATACTTGGGAGGTCATTTATAAAGAGTTTAAACAAATTTGGACTAAGGACATCCCCTTGTCTGACCCCAACCCCAGATGTGAAAAAATCTGTCATTTTATCATTTACTTTCACACATAATCTATCATTCTTATACATAGATTTTAAAATTCTGTAAAAATATCCATTTATATCGTTTGATTGCAGTTTATACATAATGCCAACATGAATAACTTTATCAAAAGCCTTTCGAAAATCAACAAAACAGGCATATAATTTCTTATCACCAGTCTTGAGATATTTGTTGAGTAAACATTTCAACACAAATATATGATCTGAAGTGCGAGATTTCTTGGAGAAACCTATATGTGATTTATGAATAGTATCATTTTCCAGCAAAAAATTGTCAAGTCTATTATTCAAAATTAAGTTAAATAATTTTCCAATACTATTGTTAATAGCTATGCCTCTGTAATTTTCTGGCTTATTTGGATCATCAGATTTGAATAGAGGACAAATAAAACTTTCTGACCATTTTGAAGGATACTCTCCAGATGTAAATACAGCATTAAATAGTTTTAACAAGCAAGGATTGATGAAATGTTGCGAAGCTTTAAGCATTTCATTTGAGATATTGTCTAATCCAGGTGTTTTTTTCAACTTAAGCTTAGAAAATGCTTCTTGTAATTCTGTGTTTGTAATTTTTTTGTCTATCATAGAGAAACTGTAATTATTATCTTCCATTACTTTTAAATTTTCCTCTAAAACATCTAGTTTTTTTTTTCATTTTGTCTGAAACAGAAGTAAGATCTGAAAAATATTGGAACCAAGTATCGCCCTCGATGCAGTTTTGATCATCTCTTTTTTCGTTCCGCAGCTGGTTTACTAAGGACCAGTATTCCTTAGGATTATTAGACTCTAAATCATCAAGCTGGTTTAAAATGTTTTGTTTAAATTCTCTTCTCTTTTTTTTCCTTAGTTTTGAATATTGTTTGTTTAATTTTAAAAAGGAACCTCGCACGTTTGGATCTTTAGGGAAGCGAGACAGTGTTAATGCTTTATTTTGAACAAGTTTTTTCATTTTCAATAGGTCTTGATCAAACCATTTCTTGTTTTGCATTTTCATTTTAGATTTCTTCTTTTTCTGTAGTGAAGCTATACAAACTTTATCATAAATCATATGTACTTTGTTAGTGGCATTATTTATTCCAAAATTGTCTAGAGGGATTTCTTCATCTAAGAACTGTCTCATTTCCTTTTGTATTACAGGATGTGCAAAAGTCTCTTGAAAATTTAGTGCATTGTTTGCATTCCATACATAACGCAAAGGAAAATCATGTAATAGAGACTCATTATTCATATAATCATTATCAAAGGATGCTAAAATCTTAAAAGAAAGTTTACAGTGGCAATCAGAAAAATTTGCTTTAAAATCTGATACACCCATATAAAGAATATCATGAAATAGGCTTTGTGAAACAAGCACATAATCAACTACACTACATCCATAAGACTTTAGACAGGTAAAATTGCCTAAACTATCACCAAAGCATCTTCCATTCAAAATACGTATTTGGTTACTTATACAAAATTCTAATAAATCTTTGCCTCTAACATCAACAACATTATCTTGGCTAACTCTCTGTTCAATTGCAACATCAATATTATAGTAACTGTTATTAATTGGAATGTGAAGGGTACTGTCATCTATTATATAGTCTGCATCTGATCCTGTTCTGGCATTAAAATCACCAGTTAGAATGATATCTCCTAAATTCTTATATTTCTCAATAATGCTATTTTCAAGTAATTCTAATAACTCAATATTACTTTTTGGTGCATAATATACAATACATAGATATATATCCCTCTTAAAATTAAAGAAATCTCTACACAGTTTTATCCACTGATATTCTGTAGTACCATCATTAAGGATCTTAATTCCCTTTTTAATGCTTTTACGGACCAAAATGCCAAGACCTCTAAAGTATCGATTGTTTCTGGATTTTTGACGACAAAAAGGATAGTAATTAAATTCTTCAAATTTGATGTTATGTTCATATCCCACATGCGTTTCTGTTAAAAGAACTAAGTCGAAGTTATTAAATTCTGTTAAAAACTCTTTATCTAAGGTCTTGTCATAATGTTCAGATATAAGTCCCCCAACATTCCAACTACAAATATTTAAACTGCTTCTCATGTGAATTGTATATAACAAATTTGGTTACAGTTATAGTAATAATGAGGCTGTAAATACCCGGTAGGTATATTCTAATTCTAAGAGAATAATTGACAGAAGTATTCTACAATAAAATATAGTACAGCCGATGGAGTATAATAATAGTACGAGACTATAGATAAAAACTATAATGGTTTTGTACAATGACAACAATGTTATATAATGGTGTTAATAAAAACTGTAAACAGGGTATCACTATTGACTATATTAAATTGGTTGGACAAATACTCAGATTGTAGTACAAACTATTACAACTAGATTGTAAACTATGAATTTCAAACTAAAATGTCTAGATTTACAAACTTGAATACACAAGTAAATTACTTTTAATCAAGAAAATCGGTAACGTGACTAGACTTGAAAATTGGCAAACTTTGAGTCACCACTGAGATCTGAAATCGTGTCCACGCCAACGGTCACCTCCCCGACCCTTGTTACCATAATACGGGTTACCGGGTTCACCTCCCCGACCCTTGTTACCATAATACGGGTTACCGGGTTCACCTCCCCGACCCTTGTTACCATAATACGGTTTATTGTAGTAGCCTCTTCCTTTGTACTGCATATCGCGACGAGATAAATTCAAAGCTGTGTCAACTGAGCTGCGAATGTTAGATGCCAGCACTGCTGTACCTTGGTGGGAAAGGTGGTATCCATCCTTAGCGTCAACGTATCTTAGAATTACTTCTCCCTTGTACGCCATGTTACTATTGTCGCAAAAGATAACAAGACTATCATCCTTCAGTTTCTGTTTCAGCAGGGCAGTGACTATCTGTCCTCTGGTATTGTATTCATCCGAGTCTTTCCTTGGAGTTGGGAGTGAAATTACAATTTTTGTAACTGGCATTTTGTCGTGAATTAATTTGCATATCTCTGACATCTCTTCTACACATGCATTAGGAGTTTTATTTCTTAAATCATTTGTCAATGAGTGTAATGTAATAAGATCTGGAGCCTCTGTTAAATTCCTGATTTCTTTAACAGTATCTTCTAAAGTATAGGCAGTTATTTTGTTCACACTATACTGGGAAGAAAGTTTATCTGGGTTTATTCCTTTTATATTGGAAGTTCCAATCAAAGTGACATGGGGTTTTACTTGGTTTTGACGAGTTGTTTTTGTTTGGAAGTCCCCGCTGTTATCGTCACGGCAATTATGTAACTTTAAGCTCACAATTTCTTCATCTTTTTTATCAAGTTCTGTTTTCATTGATGCAATTTTTGTCTCTAATGTATCTATCTGGGCAGATCTATCTGCCATGATATTTGTGGTCTTTTGCAGGTCTTCTGTGTACCTCTTCATTTTCTCTGAGAATGTGTCATTCTGTTGTTGCAGAGATGAACATTTTGCTTCTAGGTTAGATTTTAATACCTCTTTTTCAAGTGTTGACATGTGATTGAAACTGTTCATTTTTGTTTTGAGTTCTGTGTTTTCTTTTTCAAGTTTTGATGTCTTATTCATAAGTTCATCAAATTTGTTCAGTAGTTGTGTGAAATTCACTTCATTGGCTTGCATGCTTTGATTATGTAGTTTTTGCATTGTTTCTAGCTTTGTTGTTAATATTGCTGAGTGTTGATTAAATATCCTTTCAATCGCACCTGTGAAATGGCTTTCCATTCTAGACATAAATGTCATCACTTGGGTTTCTGCTTGTTCTCTGGGTGTAATACTCTGGCATTCAGCTAGATCACTCTGCTCTGTGTTACAACTAGCATCCACTTTTTGCATTAGAAGGTTTGGTCTGTCTATGATATTGGTGTCTGTGACCCATTTTTCTTTTGTTTCTTCGGTATCGGTCAGTTCTAAAACTGTGTCATTCATGTCGCTCCCTTGACTACTATTGTCATCACACTCATGAATTTGTGCATCATCAGCAATTAGTGATTCTTGAATTTCATGCATGTTCTGTGCCTTCTCATTGAGGGAGGCAAAGTACTTGTCCTTAAATTGAACACATTTGGCGCCTTGAATAACTACGGAGCCTGATTGGTAGAAATTAATTTTCACGGAGTTATTGACCGAGCCTTCATAGTCAAAAACTACTTTTATAACACAACAAATATCACTGGTCGTCACCGTTGTTTTTTTCTCATCGAAGAAATCAAGTACTGCTTTTTTCCATGCCGGTATAGATTCACTAGCTAAATGGAATGAAACATTGTTAATTTTCCCATCACATTGTATGTGTTCTTTTGGTATCTCAGGTTCAGAAATGCCTTCATTGTGTTTGGCCGGAGCCATACCCTGGTTCCTACGACCTTGCGGCATCATGTATATCTAAATATTTATATGAAACGTTACCTGCCACTTCACAAAACGCAGTATTATGAGGAAATTGTTCAGATTGTTGCTAAAACACTATTACCATTATGGGGACGAGGTAGGTAACGTGAAAATGGACAATTTTATTCGCTGACCACGATGTCCATGTGCGCCGCCATTACCGGAGAGGTTCACGGCGAGATACTTTTGACTTGGCGCCGCGTAACCTCTAGCATCCATTGTAAAAATTCTCGCCGCTGAAACCCCAAGTGGAAGTAAATTATTTTATTAAGAAATAAGGCTTTGTATATTAACGAATGGTATGAAATAATAAAATACTCAATATTTACGATAAAACTTACGCATGAAACACTGTTAACCTCTCGTATTAGCAATAAATCCATTTTTTTAATCGAAGCAGAAATTGAAACAAGTCGTCAGTTTAAAATTGGGAAATGGAATTTAGAAAATCTGACGAAACGAAACTAGTGTAATGCAACGAAAATTTCGTTTTCTGACAAGCAATCCGCAAAATTAATGTGAAGTCAAATCGAAAGTACTTCTGGTGACAAATTGGAATAATGACAATTTTAATTAAATAACAATGATGCACACTGAATAAAATGGATTTTATTATTTCTTATGGCTTTCATACCCTATGCAAACACGAAGGTACCTGAAATTTACTTGTTAACAGTTTATTTCTGCATAATACGTTCCGCCCAAAATTTCAGGCGGAACGAGCTCGTTAGAAAATGGCATTCGGATGTAAGAGTCCGAGGTATATAAGGAGCGTAGGGACGTTAACCGAGGCTCTTACTTGTAGGAGTAGGGGGCCAACCTGAGAAATTTTTTTTTTACTTACCAAAAAAAAAAAAACAAAAACCGAAAATGTGTAATGCCCAAACTCGAAAATCTTATTTCCTAAGGGGGAGGGGGGGGGGGGGTAGTGTCCAACTTTTTTCAAGGCCAACTGCCTTTCACTTCCAATTTTTTCCTGTATTTCCTTGCTATAATTATACTGTGGTAAAAAAAGAGGGGGATCAACCATCGTTTCAATGGACATTTTCTATAGTAAAGGTAATGTTGGGGAAAAAAGTGGGGGGGGGCTCCCGCACCCCCCCCCCGTTTGCTACGTGCCTACACCATTGAAGGGGGGACGTCACTCCATTGTACAGTGTTAAATGTACTGTAACCCTTGGTGATGGTGGCTGGTATTGTTGTCTTGGTGTAATATTTGGCTGTGTTGTTGTAGATGTTAGCCGTTAGACATTTGTTGATGTTGTTTATGTTAATGTCCTTTGCGCTGTAGTTTTTCGTGGTGCCGTCTGGGTTAGTGGTTGGGGTGGAGGAGGATTGGGTTGGCCTTTATTCACTCGATTCTTATTCCAAACCATTGAGTTCGGTTGAGTTTAGGGATCTTGAGTATTCTCCACCGGTAAACTTCTAATTTATCATAATGAGCGTATGTAAAATATATTTTAAAAAGTAGTGGAACGAATTAAAATATTAATTTGAACATTGCAATATGTACTCCTAAAATTCACAAATATATTTTATTTCTTTGCAATGTATGTGAATTTGTATCTGAATGGAAATGTATATTAGATGTATATTTAGAGGAATTAATAAAATATTATTTAAATTCACCTGATGGATTCCAACTCTTTGTAGGCCTTTGACAAATTGTGTCCTCTCTTCTGAGTCAGGGGGCCCAACACAGACATCAGCTGGCTTAGGAATGGACCTCCCTGGATAGCACTCAGTCCTACAAAAATTGACAGGGGATTATTTACTAACGGGCATCATAAAAAACATTTGTTTGGAATCCAGTAAGAAAGGAAATTTACCTACAAATATGACGAGTCCGGCAATGGCATAGAAAAATGCCAGAGGGCCAGCGCGTCTTCATTCTTGACGGAACTCCCATCCTCGGAGAAGATGTAGTTCGTCAGCTCCTTCAATAGAATTCGTAAAAACTCCCTTTTCGCCCCCAACCCCCCCCCCCCCCCCCCGAGATCTTCCGCGTTTTCCCCATAGAAAGTTATTTCCAAGGTCAGACGCAGGTTGGTGGCATGTTGTATTTCTTCTGCCGCATCCCGAAAGAGGTTCTTTCGGCTTGTAGTCTCCCAGACAGCCTCTTCCGTCACGTTCAAGACATCAAGGGGACTCCCTTGTAGTATATTTTCGACAAAATCCCCCCAGAGCGCTACTGGTTCCTCTGTCTCGAGCCTAATGAAAATATATTAATATACATATTATTTTTCTTTAGATAAGATTTTAACATTTTACGAAATGTAATAAGACACGATAGGTTGGTAGACAAGTAGTGTCATTTTAATAAAATATTTGATTTCATGATTTGTTCGTTTAAGACAATCTGGAGCACGTGATTATTTCATATGGTACTGATAATTTTTAATGAAATCGGTTTACCAGCTGCTAAAACATATGTTACATGTTTTAACAAAATTTTCTAGCCTTATTGGGGTGACTGTAGGTTCCGACTTTAGTAGCACTGGTGGCAATGCTGGACTGTTTTCCAAAAATACCTGATTATATCCGGCGAATGACGAAAGGGGGGCCTGGGGTGGTGTTGTCAGAGTCATCATAGGGGTGACTGTAGGTTCCGACTTTATTAGCACTGTTGTCCATGCTGGACTGTATTCCGAAGATACCTGACTATATCCGGCGAATGACGGAAGGGGGGCCTGGGGTGTTGTTGTCAGAGTCATCATTAAGGTGACTGTAGGTTACGACTTTAGTAGCACTGGTGGCGATGCTGGACTGTTTTCCGAAGATATCTGACTATATCCGGCGAATGACGGAAGGGGGGCCTGGGGTGTTGTTGTCAGAGTCATCATTGGGGTGACTGTACATGTAGGTTCCGACTTTATTAGCACTGGTGTCGATGCTGTACTGAAATCCGGAGATACCGGACTGTAATCCGGAGATACGGGACTGTAATTCGGAGATGAGGGACTGTAATCCGGAGATGAGGGACTGTATCCCTGGGATTTTATAGGCACTGGTGGGTTGAACTCTCCTGACTCTGTCGACGCAGGATTATGGCTATCAGTCAACGTGTTACATACTGGTGTCGTGAGGGCAAACGTTGACCGGATACGTTTTTCAAACGTTGTATATTTCCCTGGGTTGTCTTCTCTGTTACAAAAATTAATAAATAAATAAAAAATAGATAAGTATACTAAGAATAATTTAAAAAAACAAATAAATAAACGCAAACAAACAAGCAAAATAAACTTAAAATAAAATATATATTTTTTTATTTTTAACAAATACTTTAAACCAAAGTGAGTCTGCTTCATGCTTTACTATTCCTTTATTTGATTTTTTGTACCTTAAAGTCTGTAAAGTTTACCTGAATGTTTTCATCAGTGGATGCGCCTCTTTCTTCTGCTGCGAGAACCCCTCACTCTCAGGGCTGTTTTCTTTCTTCATTTTCCTATGAAAAGATTTTCAAAAAAAAGAGTAAAAATTGTTAATGTTTACAATTTAAAAGATTTTAATAGCACGTGGTGGAGTGGGGGTATTCTTTACTCCAGCATGCTAGAGGTTCACGGCGAGATACTTTTGACTTGGCGCCGCGTAACCTCTAGTATCCATTGTAAAAATTCTCGCCGCTGAAACCCCAAGTAAATTATTTTATTAAGAAATAAGGCTTTGTATATTAACGAATGGTATGAAATAATAAAATACTCAATATTTACGATAAAACTTACGCATGAAACACTGTTAACCTCTCGTATTAGCAATAAATCCATTTTTTTAATCGAAGCAGAAATTGAAACAAGTCGTCAGTTTAAAATTGGGAAATGGAATTTAGAAAATCTGACGAAACGAAACTAGTGTAATGCAACGAAAATTTCATTTTCTGACAAGCAATCCGCAAAATTAATGTGAAGTCAAATCGAAAGTACTTCTGGTGACAAATTGGAATAATGACAATTTTAATTAAATAACAATGATGCACACTGAATAAAATGGATTTTATTATTTCTTATGGCTTTCATACCCTATGCAAACACGTAGGTACCTGAAATTTACTTGTTAACAGTTTATTTCACGCATAATACGTTCCGCCCAAAATTTCAGGCGGAACGAGCTCGTTAGAAAATGGCATTCGGATGTAAGAGTCCGAGGTATATACCTAGCGTAGGGACGTTAACCGAGGCTCTTACTTGTAGGAGTAGGGTATTCTTATATTTATGCCCCCCTTCGAAGAAGGGAGGGCATATTGCTTTGCTGCTGTCTGTCTGTCCGTCGGTCTGTCGGTCCACTTAGTTTCCGTTCATTTTCTTCGCAACCGTTGCACATACTGAAATGAAATTTGGTATACAGATATATCACATGAATATCTAGGTCAAGTTCTGGTTTGGATAAGATCACGCCATTTTTGACAGAGTTATGCCCCTTAGAATTAAAAAAAATACAATTATTTGCAGTTTCTGTTCATTTTCTTTGCAAACGTTGCACATACTGAGATGAAATTTTGTATACAGATATATCACATTAATATCTAGGTCAAGTTCTGTTTTGGGTACAATCGCACCATTTTTCACAGAGTTGTGCCCCTTGGACTTAGAAAAATTCCAATTATTTGCAGTTTCCGTTCATTTTCTTTACAACCGCTGCACATACTGAAATGAAATTTAGTCTACAGATATATCAGATGAATATCTAAGTCAAGTTCTGTTTTGGGTACAATCGCATTATTTTTGACAGAGTTTTGCCCCTTGGACTTTGAAAAATTCTAATTTGGGGGGAGGGGGCATAAGTGTTTTATAAACATCTCTTGTTTTTTTAGAATAAGAGTAGAGATTAAATAAATTTATCTTCTCAAAAGAATTAGTGAGTCTTCTGATTCACTTAATTTTCTGTTGTAATTAGGTTGACTTTGTTTAGGGGAGGGTTTATCTTCTTCAACCTGGTATTGGTCCTCCCAGGAGTTTCTAATAAATTATAAATTTTGAGCATTTTTTTAAAAAAAAAATTGAAGCAAACAAATGTTAACCTGTTTATTTTTATATATACATTGTTTTTCATTGTAACAGAAAATCACAATTCCAACATCAAAAAAATTTTTGACTTCAAAATGACAGCTAATAAATATTAAAAAGTGATAAATTTTAAAAAGAGTACTTACCCTGATTCAAACGCCACCTGAAATTCCTTCCCCATCTCGATCCACTTTTGCTCGAAATCTAAATAAGCTTCTGCAATTTTGAACAATTTGTTTTGAAGACTGATTTGCTTTGCATTTATTCTCTCTATTTATACTGATTCGGGAGAAAAGGGTCAGGGCTTGGCGTTTAACAACTGTATTTATTTAAATTATAGAAAATTATAGAAACCGTCTCAAAAAACGCTCGAACGATCATTCAAGAAAATATCGCGCGCGTTTTTATTAAAGTTCGACTAACGTTTCAGTAAAGACTGCGCGATGATGACTGCGCGCACGTTTTCTGTAATTTTTCACATATATTCTATAATTACGAGGGCCGTTCAAAATTTACGCGGACTTGTTGCACAGAAAAAATATTTGACGACATAATCGGCCAAATTGTCGCACATAATAGAGAACACCAAACACGCAACGAACGAACGTATCTCGACGATACGAACCGTATTGCTAGTTAATGAATACATCACTCGCTTTATATTCATTTTGTAATCATCAAAAGCGGATCCATTTGTTTTATCTCAATATCAACTCTCATTTGTCAGAATTCCTCTGTATCAGGGGGCTTTGCCCCAGCCCCCCCCCCCCCCTGGGATATGTCCTGGACCCGCTGAGGGCTTTAATGCAGCCCCCAAACCTCCCTGTCATCTACTGCCCATATGTATACACGTATATAATATGATAAAAAATTTAGATAGTTTTACTACTAGTACTCATTTTCTATAATTATTTTTTACGTCTTAGTTAGATATGAACGATCAATATCAGGTTGTAACTTTGACTGCTGTTGTACAAGAGGATGCAGTCATACACACACTCTCACGTGCGCATGATTCTGAATTTCTTGTATTCCATTGCATGGATATATGTAATTGAAAACAAAGATTAAGAAATAAAAAGAAAAGGCAAGTGCATTTTTTTTATTCCGCACATTTTCCTTGAAATAAAATGTTACATGTTGAGGAATTTGTCCATGCATAAATACATTTTCTTTTCTAATTCAGCATTCTGGGGAAGCCTCTCTAGATAGTTCTCATAGCACATCCTGGCTAGTTCAGATGTGGACTTTTTCCTCTTCAAGGGTTGTTGTTGCTCGATCTCAGAATCCGTATCATCTGCTTCAGATACTGGTATCGCTCGTTTCCTATCTGGTTGATAGCTTGTTGATGCTGTATTTTTGGCTGGAACTGCGGTATCCTTGACAGGTGTGCTTGTCTTATCTGGCTTACTACAACTGGGCTCAGAATCCCCAGAATCTTCCACCGCGGAGGGGACGTCCGTGCAGCGACCAAATGTCACACTCTGAAAGAAATTCAAATTTTTAAAATTCCTTTTTAATATAAGTTAATATTTACATGAAATTATTCTATCAAAGAAAGTCTTTATTTAGGTATTAATTGGGAATGTGCAGGTTGTATGAATTATACGCACACAGGTGTGGGGTGGGGGTGGTGTTAATCAGTCATTTTTTCTCTAGGTAAATCTTCAATGATTTATTATATTTATAAATTCTATTCTCCGTTGTTATTACCTTTACTAATTTTTTTTAAATTTTATAGTAATGTTGTCTTTATGAAATTTTAACAGCTATTGTTTACCTTTTGATATCTGTCAGAGGGCGTCAGTTTTTCGCTATACCGCTTGTCTGATGCTCTCAGTGTGGTTACAATGGAGAGTAATTCTGGATTTTCAATCTTGACGCTGTCGTCCTTCATATATCGTCTGACCTGATCCGACATTCTTCTTTTCAGTTTCTCGAATGCCCCCTCCATGTACAGAGTCCTTGCGTTTTCCGGAAGAAAATTAATGTTACTTCTTATATCCGCAAGGATAAGAGGCCAGTTGCATTTATGAATCAAGTAACTTCTAAATATCATAAGCAACTCCTCAACGGAAACTTCCACGTGGCTGCGCTTGCTCATATTTTAAAACACTACGTGAAAATGGCTATCTTGATGAAAGCGTGTTCGATTTATAATAAAGAAAAACCACTGGGGCGAAACCGTGATTGTAGCAAATAAGGCCAGATGAAGGGAAAAAATAGTTGTTTATGCGTTATGTTTCCTTTAATATTCACACATCGGTGTTTTAATAATCAAGAAACAAAAAGGTCATTAGTTATAAAGTTGTACTTAAAGGGTAAAAAAATAATTAATGATTAAGGAGTGAATAAAGAATACATTAAATATATTGATGGGGTTTCTCAAAAATGAAAAATGCTCGGTAAAATTTAAACATCTCGTGACTCTGAAGTTTCCTGTTGCAATCTATTTGAAAAAAAAATGTTTGCTAAAACAAATATATATATATTCATTACTTATATGTTGGAAAAATGACCCTTGTGTTTGTCGTATAAATGTTATAGAGAGAACATAAATTAAAAAAACGAACAAAATAATATAACTTTCCCTTGGTCCAAAAACACCAACAGTAAACATGGACGACAGAAAACAGCTTTTTCTGCTGATAGCTTTCATGTTTCTTCAGTACAGACGGAATACTTGGATTGCCATACCTTACGAAAATAGCCGAGAGAGGTTCTTTCTAATGATTCTGCTAATGTTTCTTCAGAACAAAATTCAGGGGACAGAACCGTTTCCTTACACAGAAAACGAAGAAAGGATTGGGTTCCTCTTTGTTTTAAATTTGTGCCGACAATATATATCATCCTCGCGTCTCCCTCCTCCTTGCGATAGTTTCAGGATAGAATCCAGAGTATTACAGAGTGCACCAGCAAACCCTGCCATGTGGGTCCCAAGGGATACTTACCGAGACCTAAGGTCAAGGCCCTTTGAGTTCTGGATACTGAGTGGTGAGACGATTGATTCATTTGTAGAATTAATGAATCGAGTTTTTTTATACGTTGAGTTGCATGGAAACATGAGAAATGGGCAATTAATGAGTTTAGAAAATAGAGTTTTAATGACATTAATATGGCTTAGGCATTATCCAACTTATCCATTGCTTTCCCTGTGCTTCGGAGCAAGTACATCAAGTGTAGGCTACATTTTGAAGAAAACATGGTTTATGCTGTGGGACATATTGGCTTCAGAAATTCGCTGGCCAACAGCAGCAGAATGGTTATCCATGAGAGGTCGCTGGGACAACATGCAAAACGTAGTGGGTGCCATCGATGGAACATCTCATGAAATTTATATCCCACAAACGGAGCCTCAGCAGGAATTTTATAGTGGACACAGAAAATTTCACTGTATCCATACACAGGTAAAAATATATAATCAGTTTTAAAATCAATTTATGTATTTTTTCTGCAACAGCTGCGACATTCATTCTTGTACTTACAACCAAAGAAAGCATTTTATTGTTTAAATTCATGTTCACAAAATTACATGTAATACAAAGTAAAACATCATGTGTAAAATTTATGTTTACAGGTTATCATAGACAATGAGAAGTCCATTAGATATGTACATTCGGGATTTCTTGGGCATGATAATGATGCGCATGCTTATGCTAATTTGCCTAGGATAGGACCAAGGCAAGAGCATGATTTTCCAGCATGACTTTTTATTTTAGCAGACAGTGGATACCCTCAAAGTGAACCACTTGTAACTCCATACAAGACCACTGACATCATCCAACAACCACGAGATGAAAGACGTCGTCGACGAAAGTTTAATTTACGCCACCGCTCAAAACGGATTTACGTTGAGCATGTCATTAAAGATATAAAGACGTTTAGGGTGATGGGTTCCTTATATCGACACCCTAGATGGGAACTTGCTTCTATTGTTGAATTGTGCTCAGCTCTTGCAAAGCGTCGTATTGATAATTATTACCACCTGTAACACATTATCGTAATAAACAACGGCCATTGTTTAATAGACTAGTAGTATATTGACTAATAAGGATACAATAAATCAAAATCATGTCTTTCTTGTAAGATATATGTGGCATACAGAAAAAACTTATGAAAATTATGAGTAAATATAGCTAAGATATGACAATTTTAAAACTGCAAGAAAAAGCTGAACGATACAAGTGTCGAAAAAACAAAGGTTGTATCTACCGTTTCGTTGTTTCAGTGTATGCCAAGGTCACGCCACTTTTATTTTTAACTCAAACTTGTAAACAACATTCATCTGGAGCATGCAAAGGTGAGAAATATGTTCTAACAACGTTTTAAAAAGATTATCTCTAAATTTTTGGTCTACTTACATTCATTCCTAGGTACTTGAGACCATGGTAACTATGGGAACTTTTTAAACGTTTCTGCGCATGCGCACTATGGAAAAAGTATTGGGCATTATTATTGGTTTGGGGCACGCTATTGTAAAATTACTTTTATTTTAGTTTTTCTCCTTAAAAATAGAATTTTTAGGTTCTGAAACCTGTAATTTTCTGAAACCTAATACTTTTAGGAATTGAACAAAATTAATTAACAAAGGTCATGCAAAAATTCTACATTTATCAATATTTCCCTTTGTACGTCAATGCCGCTTTAACCAAAGTGACAAATAATTTTTCAATAGGTGTGATTCGTCCGTAGGTTTCGTCAGTTGCACAGGTAATCACAGTGTAAACAAGTTTACCGTGCGTAAAGTAGATATTCGTTCGTTACGTGTTTGGTGTTCTCTAATATAAGAGAATCTTTACTTATATGATCTTCAAAATTTCAGATCAAAATGTTGTGAATTAATATCAATTTTGAGTGATTTATCAGGACATATCATTGAGTCACGGAGCAGCAAAATCTTCGACGTCACAGACATTACAAAAAAATATGTGATTTAGCTTTCATTTTCTCAACGTTTTCCCAAGAGAACCTGTATAGTTTGAGTTACCTTACCTATTTAACATCCAAACACCGTTTCTTGTCGAGCTTAAAATCTATTTAACAAGTAAAGAATATTCTTTTTTTGTTTTAGAAACAAAAAATGCAGGTATTTATGAGATATAGTGTGATATTGGTGATTCTCAGTCACGTTCTTTACAGTCCGGGTCAAGTTTTCGTCAATAATCTTCTTCCCGTCCTCCCGTATAGTCTTTTTACAGAGGTCTAACGGTCTAAAATTTCATTTTACTATTTGTGGACGAATGTCACGAATACCACATTTTATTACATGTTTTATAATGCATATTTTGGATCTATGTTGGCGATATCTCGAGCATTACACATATTTTAACAAAAGTGTGGTGCGCCGTCCATTCAGTAGACATCATTTTCACAGTCGTTTTCACGGGAATCGCATCAGAGAAAAATCACTGTATCTCTGTTAGTACTTCAGATATCTCGTCAGAAATTTAAATGGATAATAATAGAACAATTTAAAGATATATTTGAGAAAATTGTCGAAAAATATTGCGAATTATAGAAAATTAATGAGTTAAATTTTGGATTCTGTTTGCTTGTGCTTCAATTTTTTTGTCGTGCGCCGTACCTCTCCAGCGGAGATATCAACATACCGATAATTTTCGCAAAATCTTTTTAAAATACAAAAATTTTGCCCAAAATTTATTGGAATCTTTAAGATACATATTTCTGTGACATTTCATAACTATATGACGTCTGTAAGAGTATATAATAGCACAGTCCGCGTAATTTTTGAACGGCCCTCGTACATCTGTGTAAAGTTAAATTGCCATGGTACGACTTGATAACCAAAGCGACTTTCTTAAAAAGTACAATGTACCTTCAAGAAAATTTAAAACGTGGTCTCATTTTTGAACTTTTAGAAAATACTATATTGGTACTACAAAGTCGTGAAAATTTTTTTACCATTAAGCCGCCTAAATAAACAGCATGAAAAATTAATAAATAGATAAATAAATTAATAAATAAATAAAAGAACACATGCATACAAATGTTTACACATTCAGCACAGAAAGAAGAAGAGTGATTATAAAAACACATATTTTTCAAGCAAAAAGTTATACATGTTGTTGACATTTTACTTCTGATTTCATTAATATTGACACAAAATTGTTACTATTTGGTGATAAAGTTTTACCTTTGCAAACTAATATAAACATTTTTACAACTGTTCACAAATTTACAGATGAACTTATTAGTTACTGTACAAGTTATATCTACTTTTTAAACGGTGGCTATATATAGCCACAGGCTATTGCTGCTGCTCTGTGTAAGCACACGGGGACCCTAGCGGCGATTTTTGCAGAGTCAAAATAATGAAAGTAGACTTATTTCGATGTTTGAAAATAAAATGTACACGTTAACAAATGCTTTCAAGTTATTTCAGAGACATTTCGTTGATGGATACAAAGCCTAATTCCTGATATTTGCCGTTATCAATATTTCTCGCCTCATGAATATTGATTGAGGTACGCCGAACTAAACTAGCTCGTACACCAACCGACTCGTATATTCGTATGCAAACTACAGATATCAATTCGTACATTTTTTTTTTCGTTTTTTCTCACATGTTCGAAAAATCCGTTTCGTACGCACATTGTGTTTCTTTAAAATTACCAATTAATTGTTGAAAAATATTTTAAGATTTCATTGTATGATTGTTTCGCTGTCTAACTCCGAAATCAAATACTAGTAATTGCTAAACAACACACGGCTGTTTCTTGAATACTGCTTTGTGAATTTTTTTTTTACAATAAAACTTAAAAATAGTTTATCATAGGCGTAGTCACAAGGGGGCAGCGGGGGCACTAGCCCCCCTCCCCCTTCACCACACTTTCAGATCGGGGGGGGGGGGGGGGGCAAGAATATGTCTGTGCCCCCACCCCCACTTTTTAATGAAGAACAAAATCACAGCTATTTTGAACCTCATTTTAAGGCATTTTTTTTTAAGTTCAACAACTGAGTAAGCATTTCTCTTGAAGTAATAGTTGAATAATATAGTAATGTAAATTAGTAACAAGTTTATCTTTCAAAAAGATAGGTAAGCTAGCGCCGTAGCAATTTTTAAACACAGAAAGGAAGATCCGTGATCAAGTGATTTATTTTTGCTGAATTCTTTAATTTTTATCGAGGCTGGAGAGTGATAAAGTTATTATTGTTTTGTGAAGCGTATTTTATAGACACATAGGTAAAGAAACAAGGGGGATGGGTGACC